TATATATATATATATATATATATATATATATATATATATATATATATATATGCTTGATCTCAAAATAAAATAATAATACAAATTGTGATATCATATTTTCGAATAACAAGTAAGTCAGGATGGCCGAGTGGTCTAAGGCGCCAAACTCAAGTTCTGGTCTTCGTAAGAAGGCGTGGGTTCAATATCATATGTCTGGATGTTGATATCAATGACTTAGATTTAATTAATTGAGAGTTATACAATAATCAATGTAGAGTGAGAAAATAAGCAATTAAGTGAGGGTTATAACAATATTCAATGGTGGTTACTTTCCAAAGAAATTGGCTGCAATTGCAATTACAAAGAACTTAAATATGCACCAATTAATTTTTTGATGGTAGAAATGCATTATTCACTTGATGCTAATATAATTTGCAATGACTGAAAAATTTAAGGTGAGATATATCTTTTGGTCCATTTTTTACTAATAAATATTGTATATTTGAACACACCAAACTGTTGGGCTTAGGCCCGGTGCATCGCACGGGCATCACTTTCTAATATATATGTGTTTATTGTGCGCGCGTTCACCATCGGAAAGAAAAAGAATTTGATTTTATAAGATATTATTGGACACTTGTAATGTGACCGTTATCGCAAACACACTAATTCTTTTCTCTACTTTTATTTTTATTTTCACCCGTTGTTCAGAGCGCACATTGAAACTTCGACTAAATTCTAATCGCGCTCTACAGGGCTCAATTGGGTGTGATGCTCTTAACAAGATTTTCTTCATACTCAGGGTTCGAACTCGAGATCTTTTGTTTTTCCACTAGTCTCCGAAACCCACATTGAAACTTCGGCTAAATCCGGATCACGCTCTACAGGGCCCATTCGGAAGTGACGCTCCCAACAAAATTTTCTTCATACCCAGGACTCAAATCTGAAATCTCTGATTAAAGGTGAAACACTCCCACCAGTCCAGCACAACCTATGTTGATACACAAATTTCATTCAATATAATAATAGTTAATTGGTAATTCAAGATTTAGAAAATAGTGAAGTTTCTTGTGAAATGATGTGTAAATCTTCCCATGGTCTATCTAAGCGAAATTTCCTACATTTTCATTAACTGTCCTTTTTTTTGAAGAGAGAAGAGTGAGCATCCAATACTCCCAACCAATCAATCAAGCAAACAAACATATTAATTTGTTTGTTTACCAACAATAGTTACAGTAGCTAACTAAATATAACAAAAGAAAAAAAAGGTACTCATTCGTTTCACAAAGAATGATCTGTTATAATTTGACAAAGAATTTAAAATTATAAAGAACACTTTTATATCTTGTGGTTCTAAATTAAAGTTAGGTTAAATGTACAAAATTATCCTTTGATTGTGACCTTAAATATGTCATGTGAAAAACTGATTTTAAAATGTTACCATAAAAAAGTCATTCTTTTTTAACAAACTAAAAAGAAAAGAGATCATTTCTTTTAAACGGACTAGTTATGTACAATTATATATATTTTTCGTCTATAATTTTGATGGATAAAAAATATCAATTAAATTAAAGTGTGGGATCCCCTTTCCTCCTCTTTTCCTTCACTTTTGTCTTCTTCCCAACAGACATTGCAACTCCAACTGATGAATTATGATTATTACAAAGAATTTTCCTTGGTGTTTAAGCAGCTTAATGTTGGGTTTGAATGAATTAAAGTGTCATGAAGATGCTTAAAATTATAAATTGTTGAAGTGATAAATTAGTTAATCAAAACTATGCTTAATTAGCATAATATCATTATATGATTTGACCAATTGATCTAACTTACAGTATAAAAAAAATGTTGGGAGAAAAATCTCCCCCTAAACAAAACTCTTTAAATAAATACATCGTGGGATTTATTATGTTTTTGGTATGAGAATAATAATCTTGAGTTTCAAGCTTTTCAAAAAGAATACCTAAATATGGAAAGAACTTATATTTTCTTTTCGAAAAAGTTAAAACAATGATAGTAATAATCTAACTTTTAAAAAGTAAATTTTAAATTTAATTTTGAAAAAATAGGGTAAAATCCTAACACTTAACTAGTCCAAAGTGTAGCATTTTTCTTGGATTCATTCATGGGGTCTTATAATTGGAAGTTTTAGTTGAGGTGTTGTTTTTCTTATTACAAGGAGGCTTTTTTCTTTTCTTTTCATTTTTTTAAAAAATAATTTTTGATATAAATAAATATATGTGTCAGAAAATTGAGTTTTTGGATTTAAGTTATATACATTAACATTGAAAAATAATTGCACTATTAGTTTGTTTTTAATTGACTATAGCAAGTTAATTGTTTATCATTATAGATTAGTAGGTTATTGATCAATTTCATTATATTTACAGTGACTTACATGTAATGAAATTGTTGCGTTTGAATGTGCATTATTATGTCAATAGATTTTACCATCAATTTAAATCGATCGTCTTTTAAAGTGATCGATTGTAAAAAAAAATGACATGAATTTGAAATCTTATCTAGTGACCAATTGTCAAGGTAAATCCACCCGGACTTAAAGGTCCCAATTGCAAGCTATCGTAGTGAGTCTCCTTCCTTAAAATATAGTTAATATTTATTTAAATAGATTATTCATATATCAGTTATTATATTTTATTTATCTCACATTATCTATCGTGGTTACTAAAAATGGATATATCAGATTATTTGTCATTTTAAAAGTTTAAATATAATTAATTATTTATTTCATTTCACCCCTGGTAAATCTTTTGCCAGCTCCACCAACTCCCTCTCTCTAAAAGAAATTTAATTTTATTTTTAAATAATATTTTAAATTTAATTCAAAACTTATATTCTACTCTCCAGTAAATATAAAAGATATTTTATTAAAAATAATTTTTTATTCGTAAATCAAACACTAAAAAAAAATTTCGAAAAATATTTTTTACTCACCAATAAAACATGATAAAATAAGTCAAAAATCTACTTATTTTTCAAAAAAAAATTCTTTCGTACCGGATACACCTCAACGGAAAAAAAATATGACTTGGACATAAATAAAGGTAAAATAGTCATATATTCCTCTAACTAATTTCTCAATAAACTTAGAAATAAAATAAGAATAAATAATTTGGGAAGGAAAGTAGAATACTATAATCCCCTAACCAAACCAATGTATATAGATCAAATTGTAATATACAATCATACAACTTGTGAGTTTCGAACACGCTAGCACTAGCACGTTCAAAATGTTTAAAATTATTGGGCTATATCAACTTATTGTATCAAGGGTGTTTAAAATATACTATTTAATCAGTTCGTGTATCATTTTATTCTCTATACATTAATTTTCCCGATGAAGTGTGACCACGTGGCTCCGCTCCGTGCTTGCTTGGTGTGATTTTACATTTTATATATAATTTATATGCTATTACACAATAGGACATTTATTAGACAAAGATCGTAACAGAAATGATAGCACTTGAGGATTATCCTAGGATGTTATATAAGAAATACTATTCTTTTCTTTCTCTAGTCGTGATTAGAACTATCAAAAAGGGTTGACCCAACCTCACCTGGCTCAAGCCTCGTGAGTCAAGAAATTTGAAGGGCTAAGGAGGGCCGACCCTTCATTTGGTAGGGCTTGAATGCTCAACCCAATCCAACCTTATAAAGGGGTCGAGGGCTGGGGGCGGGCTAGTCCTTCTATTTTTTTCTTTTCAAATTTATAATTCTATAACATCAAGAACATCCGAAGATTTTCAAATCATATATGACAAACAATGATTTTATTTCAATAAACTAGTAAAAATCTAATGTAATTGACATGTATCTTGCAACCAAATATGCGAGTGAGATAAGAGAGTGACAAGCAAGATGGGAGGGAGGTGAGAATGCGAGATTTGTATATGTATCCTAGATAGATGCGAATCTACTTGGATAGAGTGTATCTAAAAACAAATTAACCTAATTTTGAGTCTATATATTATCGAGTTACTTGTATCTGAGAACAAAGATTCATAATATTACAACATAATGTGTAGTCAAATAATTAGATTATATATTAGTGAGATTATTATAAATTACTTTTAAAAATAAAGTTTTGGCTCATAGACCGACCCCGACCCAGCCCCGATCAAACCTCTAGGGTCAAAGACTTATATGAGTTGAACTTATAAGTCTTAGTTTTAAATAAATTTAAAAAATCCTATCTCAGCCCTGCCGCAATAAAGGGTAGATTGAGCCGGGCCACATGAGCTAATCTCATTTTGAGGGTTCTATTTGTGATATACAAAAAGGTCTCCAATTAATGCCTACGTGGATAGTGGATCGTAATTTTGCGAGACGTGAAAGCTAGTGAACCACATGTTACGTTAATGCTACTTTATCCCATACTCTTTTGAAAAATAAATAAATAAACAAGTAATATATATATATATATATATTGTTAAAAAAAATACCGTTTTAGACGTTCCTCTATCCGTACTTTTCTCTTGGATCACAAATCCATTTTCCAAATCAAAACAAACTAAAAAAAGCATTTTTAAAAGAATAATAATAATAATACATATATTAACTTTCAAAATCATTTATCCTTTTTTTTTCTATATATAATTCACTCTTTTTCATTCATAAAACCAAAAAAAAAAAAAAACATCTCTAAAGTAGTTACAAACATCTTTAGGGTTGTTCTAATCAGCCCCGCCAAAAAAAAACCAACCCTTTTTTTCTACGTTACATTATTGTTTAATCATATTATAAAGGGGGTTGGTTTTTGTTCTTGATTATTATTAGATCTTAATAATTTATTTGTATTAATTATAATTTATTCATCATGAGTGATGATAAAAAGTACATTACTGCTGAGGAATTGAAGAAACATGACAAACCAGATGACTTATGGATTTCAATTCAAGGAAAATGTTACAATGTTACAGATTGGGTGAAAGAACATCCCGGTGGCGATATTCCGATTCGTAGTTTGGCTGGACAAGAAGCTACTGATGCATTCATTGCTTTTCATCCAGGTTTTGATTTATAATTCGAATTCATTTATGTATATTAATGATGGTTTGGTATTATTTTGAAATTTCATTGCTATAGGTAGTGCTTGGAAATATCTTGACAAGTTTTTCACCGGATATCATCTAAAAGATTACGAGGTAACCGATGTGTCTAAAGATTACAGGAAACTCTGTTCTGAATTTTCGAAAGCAGGGATGTTTGACAAGAAGGGTCATGGAGTGATTTATTCGTTCTGTTTTGTGGCATTGTTGATGTCCTTGAGTTTCTGTGGTGTTTTGTTGAGTAAAAATTTCTTGGTTCATATGGTTTCTGCTGCATTGTTGGGATTAGCTTGGATGCAGATATCTTATTTGGGACACGATTCGGGTCATTACATGATCATGACAAATCGCGGATTCAACAAATTAGCACAGATTCTTACAGGAAATTGTCTTACTGGGATAAGTATTGCTTGGTGGAAATGGACACATAACGCTCATCATGTCGCGTGTAATAGCCTTGATCATGACCCTGATCTACAACACTTGCCAGTTTTCGCTGTTTCTACAAAGTTTTTCAAATCATTGAGATCTAGCTTTTATGGAAGAGAGCTAACGTTTGATTCGCTTGCAAAATTCTTTGTGAGTTATCAACACTTTACGTATTACCCTATAATGTGCGTAGCACGAGTGAATCTCTTTGTCCAAACATTTTTGTTATTGTTTTCGACAAGGAAAGTACCAGACAGAGCTTTGAACATATTGGGAATACTTGTTTTCTGGACTTGGTTTCCTCTTCTTATTAGTACATTGCCTAATTGGACAGAGAGGTTCTTGTTTGTGCTTTTAAGTTTCTGTGTTACATCACTACAACATATTCAATTCACTCTTAACCATTTCGCTGCTGATGTATACGTTGGACAGCCAGAAGGGAACGATTGGTTTGAGAAACAAACGAGTGGTACTATAGATATCGCGTGTTCTTCATGGATGGATTGGTTCTATGGAGGATTACAATTTCAACTTGAACATCATTTGTTCCCAAGGTTGCCTAGATGCCATTTGAGGAAAGTGTCACCAATTGTTCAAGATTTGTGCAAAAAACATAAGTTACCATATAGGAGTTTGTCATTTTATGAAGCTAATGTTTGGACATTAAGGACTTTAAAGACAGCAGCAATACAAGCCAGGGGTCTACTTTGGGAAGCTGTTAATACTCATGGATAATTAATATTTGCAATTTTTTATGACAAATAAGTACTAAGTAGTATGTTGTTTTTTTCAAGTAATGTGTGTATTTTAATCTATGTTGTTGGATGTGTTTTTTGCTGTGTTGATATGGGATTTTTGTATTTTCAATTATATATATATATATATTTTATTTCTATGTTTATATTAATTTGGATTCGCCAATGTTAGGCCAATTAAAAGGGAGACACTTTTGACCATGATTTTGGGCTTATGTTAACATTCAGATAATGGCTCTATGAAATTACGTTGATACTTTCACATATAGATAACATATCTTATCGTTAAATTTTCAGTTTGTCTCTAACCGTCAAATGAAAAGTAAGCAACCCGTTCTCTTCTATTTGAAAGAAGGGGGCTTCCGATTTTGTCGTGCTTGAAATATTTTTGTGTTCTCCATATTATTGTATATACTTAATCATTTAATTACTTAGTTTTCTATCGATCAAGGTTCATTCTCTATAATACCTTCAAACTTAAATCTGAGATATCCGAGAGAAGACGAAAAAATTCTATTGATTACACTGCGATCCTAATTGATGGACATATAAGTTATAACTGCAATCCACGTGGAGGAACCAAATCTCTTCGCCACATACTTTGGGTCTGCGTTGTTATATCATAGAAAATATCGTTATTTTTTTAATTCTTTTTTTGTCTATTAACCCTTAACTAATATACACAATTCAAAGTAAAAAAAGAATTGAAAATTTACTTGTAATAATTTTCAGAAAGAAAATCTATACCATAATTTTATATTAGTTTGACAAAATAATTAGCCTGCATCTACGAGCTATCTACGCACAATCTTTTAAGAAATTTATACATTTCTATCCTTTTGTGTTTAAAATGAATGAGAGAGTAAGCTATTTATTGAAGTCATGAAATGTAGAATGAAATCTGGATTTATCAATACCTTATATTTTCTAATTACAACAATAATATATCTACTTAAATTCTATAAGTGGAATTTGAGAGGATATAATTGTCACTACATGACTATGGAGGTAGCAATGACGTTTTCGAAAAACCCTCCGTTCAAGTTCATTAAATTCAAGTAAAAGAAGAAGTAAACAATGAGAGAAAGTATAAGAATGAAATAAGAAAAGTCCGACAAACTTTACAAAAAAGAAATACTCTGATAATCCAAATACACTCAACAACATACATGATAACTGGAACTAGTCCTTATTATCTCTTGTTCTAAGATTAGCAAATCAGAAATAAGAAAAGATGAAAAGAAAAAGCAAAGAACTATCGTATCCCATGGAACTCATTGTGAGTCCTTAAAAAAATATATCCCCTCAAGTAGTCGCGGTTATAGATTAATTTCTCATAAGACAAAACAGATTAATCATTAAAGAAGTATACAATACCTTGAAATTTGATAAATTCAATAAACTCAAAAAGACAAGAACGAGACCGCATACACATACACGATCGATTGATCTTGTTTGTAAAATATGTATGCTTTAATGGAAGAATTCAATACTTAAAAAATGAGAAAAGTCGTTATTTGTATCCAACAAATGTTAGTATCAAAGGTGTTAATTGTGAAAAGGGTCACAATTCCTTAGAAAAGAGATAACCTTTCAAAAAGCTCACAATCTTTTGAATAATCACATCCTCTTAGAGAAGACAACCTTTTGTAAAGGTTACAACCTTTCAGAGAGTTACAATCTTTCACCTCCTATTCACACCTTTAAAACTCAACAGTCCTACGACATACAACAAATCACCATAAGACAAGACGACACTTTACCCCTACTAATTTTCTATCCTAATACTAAACATTCACTCTTTTTCTATCTACTAGCTTCTGGGTACGCGCCACGCGCGTGTGGTCATATAAATAAAAAATTTTTTTGCGAAGATTGTATATTAGCAATATTTTTATGTTATATAATGTGTTATAAAATAGAAAGTACAAATTACATGTTCTTAAAATTGATAAGTATCCTATATGGTGTTTTTGTTTCTAAGATTCAAATCCAAAAAACTATATAACTATAATATTTAAATGAATAAGTGAAATGTTATGTGCTACGTTAATGAAATATGTGTAAAATCAGTAACATATAGAAATTTTTTACCGTAAAATTAATGTCGTGTGTTGCACATATTAAGCCCTAGCAAGGAAATTAAATAATAAGTGTCATGAGTGTATTCTTCACTAAAAATTTCTTTGACGAATCCAACAACATCCATAGCTGAAATTCTTGCACAAATCCAACAACGTTCATAGCGTATTTTTATAGCCTTTAAATTTGACATTGATTAAGAAAAAACTGCTCAAAAAAATGATATACTCTTCTTTAGAGCCCATAAAAATGGAGAGGGGACTAGAGGAAAACGAAAATTATTCTTGGCTTTATATAATACTTTCACTTTAAATGATTAATTAGTTCCTTTAGCTTCTTTTCATGTATTTATCATTGAAAATAACATGTATTAATATATTAATTATGAGATTCATTATATTGAAATCTACAACTTTTAAGATTCTAGCAATGTAAAGGTAACTGCTTCTATATTTTAGTTAATGTGCAACTTAAATCTATACATATTTACTCTCATTAACTAACATTTGTCTCTTCATTTTCTTTAACATTTAGATTATTTAATTTTCATAACTCTTCAAATATTCTCAATTCATTTAACCATTGTCTGCGAGAAAAATTTCCCATTCTTCTCGAAATTGAAAAAAAAAAATAGGGTCCAGACCCACAAATGAATAGGAAGCGACTCATTCACATCCAGATCATGAATGTTTGGAAGTTTACTGCTCAATATTTTTCAAAAATTAAATAATCAAATATGAATATAATATTTTTATTTAGTATAGAGATAAAATGGTAATTCAATTTTACATCTTGGAGCTTCCCACTTATAATATAATATGATAATCATATCCTCGATAATATAAAACAATGTCATATCGTGTCTTATCATCTCTCTCCACTAACTCAATAACTATATTTTCTGATAAAAGAATATGCTCTAGAAAAGAGTTTATAAATATATATATAAGGGATAAAATGTGAAAACAACAAATTTAGGCAAAACTCCTAATAATGTTGATTAGACACATTTGATAGTTGAATATTGAATTTCATCCACCAATAGAATCCATAATTTTTTCAAATTATCCTAACAAAGCTTATCCTTTTATTTCCCTCCTTCTCAGCCCCGTTATGTCTTTTTCCGATAAGATTTTTCCTTTTTCTCCGCAACCAAACAAAATCCATTTCTCCACAATATTCGCATTACAATTTCTTCTTCATCGCCAAAACAAAAAATGTTCACTAACAATCTCTAAATTCGCCGGAATCTGACGTCATCATATGGCTACTCTTTTGCCGTCGCCGGACATTTCTTCCTTCTCCGCCGGAAGAATACGCCTAAACAAACTGGTGTTACGAAGAAGAGTTGTTAAGGTCTGTTCGAGTGTGAAGGATTTGGAGGATGTTGGATTGTTGTACGGACAGTTTTCTGCTCCGTTGAAGGTTAATACGATGTCGTCTTCAAAACTTGATAAGGAGGAAGAACAGAAGAGGAATTACTATCTGAATACCGGTTCTGCTATTCGGATTCTCAGAGAAGAGTTTCCAGCGCTATTTTATAAGGAGCCAAACTTTGATATCTACAGGTTAGATTGAATACTTCTTTGAAAAATATCCTAATTTGTTTGAATTACGTGCTTGGCTATCGAACTCCGATATATTAGTACAGGAGAGCTAGGATTTTGAGTTTATGGGTTCTAACTTCTAAATCAGGAAAGTTATTGTGTTTTTGATAAACTAGTTATAGATATTAAGTGTCTGTGCTAAAGCTATTGAGTTCTGCTAAAATCGTAATTGGAATGCTAGCTCTGCAACCTCAATTTAGTTGAGGCGGTCAAGATCAAAGAGACTACTATCTTTGAAGAAGCTTCATAGAGTAGGGACCGGAGTAATTCGACAGAGGCTAAGATACTCAAAGGCATGTACATCATGATGGTTGCAGAGTTTCAAGAATTGCTCTGAGGGGGAATGTAAGAATTTTATGAAGAATCTAGAATAGTCAAAGAGTTAAAGAGAATTGGGAATGAGAGTACTAGCGTGATTATAGAAAAAGTTCAATATTGTAGAAGAGAATAGTAAATATCTTTAACTAGATCCTTCCATCATATAAATACAAGTGGTTAAGTTTCACTTGTAACCAAGTAAGAGAAAGCAAGTTAGCTAGCAACAAGTGAGTGGGAAGTAAGAATTGCGCGTAAGACCTATAAGACCAAAGTGGATCCTTACTTTGCAATGATAAAATTGAAGTTGTGAGCAACCGAGTGTGCCCAATAACAATATCCTACAAAATGTTTTAGACACATTTTGGGAGTTGGAATTGCAGGTGATGAGTACAAAATATTGATCAAGTTTTGATGCAGGAAGTTGAAACTTCTCGTTACCTGACTCTAACTAATTTGTGATCAAGGTTAATTAGTTGAAAGATCCTGTATTTTTTTTTGTTTGCTGCTTTATCAGTCTTTTCTTTGTGGGAAATTTTGTTGTGATAGTAGCTTCCTTTTTCTTTAACTGGTTCTATGTACACTAGCTAGAAGTCTAGTTCTCATCAACTGGCCTACAGGCAAGTGCTTCTTTAAGTTAATACTTCAACTTCAATCTCATCTTACCCTTTTGTAGTCTTTAGTCAGCAAGAAGATTGAGTATGCCTTTAGTAGCTTTCAATCTATACTTGCATCTCAGAATCGGCTGTTAAGACTTGAGAGAAATAAACTCAAGGGTAGGAAGAGGAAAAACATTAGAACTCCCTTCATATTTGAAAACATTTGCCTACGAGAAATGGACTTTGATATAATAGTTGGCTGGATGGTGGAATAACTACAAAGTGGCAGGAAGTCTGTCATCCAACTTAGTGAAAAGGTTGAAGATGCTAAATTTTTTTTGAAGAGTAGCACGAGGAGGTGTTTGGAAGGGTGAAGGTGAAAATGAAGGAGATCACGAATGAAGTGAGGGAACTAGAGAAGGAAGGAGAGGGGAGGGAGAGATAAAGAGAGGAAAAAGGGTTGAAGACAGAAGCTGAGAGCGATGTAACTTTGTAATTGGAGCAAGGAGATTCAATTTTTTTTCATAG